AAACAGTATTGTTCAAGTATTCATTCACTTCCTTATTTTGTATAAGCGTTATATTCCTTATTATCTTATATTGAATGTTGAAAGCCTTTGTTTGTCTGAACAGATAATCCCACGCTCCACTGTGACTGCGCGAAGATCGAAATAAAAACCTACTCACTACTTCTCTGGTTTCTTCTATCAATAGTACGAGGGTTACCTATAGGCACGAAACTGGTGAGCCCTTTTTGAACACAAATTAACCTCATTTTTGTTATTAATATTATTTTTTTTTACTCAATCGTAAAAGTAGACCTGATAATCCGTAAACTAAGTTGGGTATATAAATAGTTTATTTTTTTATTATCTTAAGTTATTCGTGTTAGAGAAATCATTTTTTCGTGCTAATTTTATTGCTATATTTGTCACATACCTCATGTCAGACTTAAAAGAAACCCATAATCTGGAGGATTTGTCACCAGTGGAGATAGACACTGTAATGACTACGAAATCTCGACTTCCAGAATTTGATCGTAGTGATCCTGAGTTGTGGTTTGTTCAACTAGAGCATTATTTCACGAGACACAATATCAAATCTGAAGGGATTCGCTATAGAGATTTGTGTTCTATCCTTCCTCCTTCAGTCGCCAAAGAAGTCCGTGACTTGATTTTAGATCCACCATCACCACAACCGTACACCATCTTAAGACGAGAGATAATGAACCGTTTATCATTATCAGATAGTCAAAGAATCCAAAGACTTTTTCAAGGTGAAACACTAGGTGATCGGTCGCCGTCACAGTTTCTACGTCACCTCCAAGTCTTAGTGGGTGATAACACAGTGGGTGAAGCAGTCCTAAAACAAGGATGGATACAAGCTCTCCCATGCTACGTCCAACACTGTTTGGATGCACAAGATCCTGAAACCTCATTATTTCATTTAGCGCGTATAGCTGATAGAATAATGGAAAGAGGTCCTCCAACTGGATCAGGCACAATAAATCACACACAGAAAGTAGAATCAGCAAAAGACCCCGTCATAGAAGGACTCATTGCGAGTGTTAAGAGTCTCACTGAGGCTGTCACCAGAATGCAAATGGGTCATACAAACAGGAGCAGGTCACCACAACGATCACGATCCAAGTCACAAAATAGGTCACAAATGTCCAGACAATCTGGGCAGTTTTGTTGGTACCACTGGAAGTTTGGTGTCAACTCAACCAAGTGCAGGCAACCATGCGCCTGGCCTAAGCATAATTCCAAGACAGCGGGAAACGAGTAACCCCTCCCCAGGTCGCGACAACTGAGGAGGGGCGCCTAAACAGTCGCTTGTTTTATGTCAGAGACAGAAACTCTGGCTTGAATTTCTTGCATATGGTCCCAAAGAAGAATGAAGGTGACTGGCGACCGTGCGGGGATTACAGAGCCCTCAACCGTCAAACCGTACCAGATAGGTACCCAATACCGCATATCCAAGATTTCACAAACGGTTTACAGGGTATGAACATGATCACTAAAATTGACTTAGTCAGGGCATATCACAATATCCCGGTGGCTGATGAAGATATCCCTAAGACTGCTATTACAACACCCTTTGGCTTATTCGAGTTTGCACGCATGCCATTCGGCCTGAGAAACGCGGCACTTCCTCAGATACTCTTATTCCACAGTCTAACACTTTCTCATGAAAGCACGCAGCAAACCGTCAGCTATAGTTGTAGAAGAAGTCACATGCTACTAAATAAGATGACAAGCTAGTAAATGAAGAGACATCCATGGACTACAGTTGACAGCGTTAGTTGCCACTGATTGTAAGTCAAACATTGAGTGAGTTGATAATTTTCCCTTGGGATGAGAAATAGAACTAAGGTGTTTTTGATAGATAGGTTAATCGAACCGACGTTCCTGCGGAAGTCAATTCTAGGGGGAAGCTAATGTAACAGCATAGGTTGTTTGGTTAAGAGTTGACCCCAAACAACCAAGCATATGCCAAAACAGTATTGTTCAAGTATTCATTCACTTCCTTATTTTGTATAAGCGTTATATTCCTTATTATCTTATATTGAATGTTGAAAGCTTTTGTTTGTCTGAACAGATAATCCCACGCTCCACTGTGACTGCGCGAAGATCGAAATAAAGACCTACTCACTACTTCTCTGGTTTCTTCTATCAATAGTACGAGGGTTACCTATAGGCACGAAAAATACGAAGAAATAGACAAACTTCTACTGTTTGAACACCACAGTATGCTAAATAAGTTAACTAAAGAGCTATACAAAACTGACCTGAAACAAATTTCTGGAGAGTTGTTTTACACCAAAGCATCTAAAAATAGGAAATAAATAGGTTTCATTCTTCGCAACTTCCTTCGAAATGAATATAGAATGTGTGCGTCAGGTATATCGCTGAACATTGTTCGTGCTCATTTTCAATTTCATGTCTGTCCGAGATACTGACGGTAGAATGAATACAATGAGGTTCACTCACAAAGCGCTTAAAATTGATTCACTCATCCACTATCGTTCCTGATGGCACACCCTAGGACAAGAACCTGTCTTGAAAGAAGGCTCGAGTCTATTTTGATTCTCCATTTCAAGTTGCTCAAAAATCTTACTTGATCCACTTGCTATATATCCCTTCTTCCAGGCCCACATACACACGACCTTCGAGATAAAGTAAATACGGTCAAAGTTGAAAAATGCAAACCAGAAACTCAGAAAAACGTCTTCCTCACTAAGTATGTATTATTGTGTAGTAGTCTTCCTTCTGCAATACGCATGACAGATGGATTACAAACGTTTGCAAGACTTTTTAATGAAGCCTTCGCTTGCACTGATCTGTCACGCGTGAGCACATCACGCTCAACTCAGACATCACAGTCCATCTACATGTCTTAACATTATCAAACTCTAAGTCTAGTTCCCCTCACTCTTCTCAGTTGTATTAGATAGACAAACCGAATGACGAAGTGTGATGTATATATATATTTGGTACCGTTTGATACCAATGTTCATGTGTTTAGATAGTAAGCATATGTCTTTCCTTGATTTTGACTTGAAGTAGATAGATATCTCACCGGACCCACCAATACTGAACAAGAATATTCAGTCTAAAAGGACGCTCGCTACTGTCCTAAAGAATTGCCTATAGAACATCATGCTCTCCTGCCTACTTCCAGTGGTCTTGCATCCATGGAGCTTGTTCTCATGAGCCGGTTAGGATAGCGCGAAATACTATTAGCACCAAAGTAATGTGAATTCATTCATGTTTATTTTTCGACGACTTTTTACTTGCACGTACACTATGTTTACTTACCAATAACTTTGTTTGATTACTCATTTACGTATCTATTACAATTTCATTTAACATATAAACTTACTCAAGTTAACACTTCATATTTGTCACCTCAACATTAACTATTTGGCTTGATTTTATGTGACAAGCAATCCTTGATTCACATGTTATAACTTTACGTGATGCACTTCGCCCCAAAGTTGTCCAATTACATCGATATATAATTAAATAACCTGATGAAAAATTACTGAATAGAATATTCCTCATTTTATCCACAACTTTTATGTCCCTAAGCTTTTCGTTCTACTTCGACGAATATTTATTAGGCATTATACTGTTCTTGATGTTTATAATTCGGTTGGGAACTCATATTTTATACCATAGTCATTTGAAGCATTGCATCGATGCGTTACCCACAGTCCATAATTTGTAACCACCTAATAGCCTTGTAAAGCGATGTATATAGGTGCTCTCCAGGAGGATGTGAAAATTAGATACAATATTCTATCTAAAAACAGACCTTAATGAAACTAAATGCAGAGGTCCCTCGTTTTGACTATAAGTGACAAAGGTTTCTGACATAAAAATCGGAGATGACCAGATATAACAAGCAGAATTCTGTTGACAAGCTATAATAATTAACGATGAGGTGATAAAAAATTCTAAACTTTCACTCTTAAAGCTAACGAATCAGGCTCAGCCTATAATTGGACAAAATCAAGTGTAATTATTTCGAGCAATCAGCATACAGGGTTCTCGCCGGTGTACTTTGACGACAATGGTTGATAATTAGTTATACAGTAATTTTCAATACTGCGCTGATTCAGAAAATTGCTATCTCTTCTGACCAATTACAGTTGCTATTTGAGCGATAATAGCAGCGTTTCAAAGAGAGCCATTTGAATGTTTAGACATTTTATGCACACGGTTGCTTAACCATCCATGCTTTGGAGATGTGACAGAAGTTGATGAATTAATTTCTAATTTGCCTACAGAGCTGGAAAGTAACTACAGAACATATGAACGTGTCGATAAAAGCCTCCGTGAATCCTTGATAAGCAGTAATGTAAACAAAGTAGTAGTATTAGTATGTTTTAAATAGAGTTATACTGATCGTAACTTGGGAATATGAAGACCCTACATTATTTTGTGGATGAGGATAAAGTCAGAAAATTTAAAATCAGTATCTAAACTTTGCATCTTCAAAAAGAAGGGAAGGTGAAATGATGGAAAGTAAAGTCCAAATTTGATTGATTTGTAACAGCATAGGTTGGTTGGTTAAGAGTTGACCCCAAACAACCAAGCATATGCCAAAACAGTATTGTTCAAGTATTCATTCACTTCCTTATTTTGTATAAGCGTTATATTCCTTATTATCTTATATTGAATGCTGAAAGCCTTTGTTTGTCTGAACAGATAATCCCACGCTCCACTGTGACTGCGCTAAGATCGAAATAAAGATTTCATTCAATTAGTGTCTGACTTCTTCTATCAATAACACGAGGGTTACCTATAGGCACGAAACTGGTGAGCCCTTTTTGAACACAAATTAACCTCATTTTTGTTATTAATATTATTTTTTTTTACTCAATCGTAAAAGTAGACCTGATAATCCGTAAACTAAGTTGGGTATATAAATAGTTTATTTTTTTTATTATCTTAAGTTATTCGTGTCATAGAAACCATTTTTTTTTCGTGCTAATTTTGTTGCTATATTTGTCACATACCTCATGTCAGACTTAAAAGAAACCCATAATCTGGAGGATTTGTCACCAGTGGAGATAGACACTGTTATGACTACGAAATCTCGACTTCCAGAATTTGATCGTAGTGATCCTGAGTTGTGGTTTGCTCAACTCGAGCATTATTTCACGAGACACAATATCAAATCTGAAGGGATTCGCTATAGAGATTTGTGTTCTATCCTTCCTCCTTCAGTCGCCAAAGAAGTCCGTGACTTGATTTTAGATCCACCATCACCACAACCGTACACCGTCTTAAGACGAGAGATAATGAACCGTTTATCATTATCAGATAGTCAAAGAATCCAAAGACTTTTTCAAGGTGAAACACTAGGTGATCGGTCGCCGTCACAGTTTCTACGTCACCTCCAAGTCTTAGTGGGTGATAACACAGTGGGTGAAGCAGTCCTAAAACAAGGATGGATACAAGCTCTCCCATGCTACGTCCAACATTGTTTGGATGCACAAGATCCTGAAACCTCATTATCTCATTTAGCGCGTATAGCTGATAGAATAATGGAAAGAGGTCCTCCAACTGGATCAGGCACAATAAATCACACACAGAAAGTAGAATCAGCAAAAGACCCCGTCATAGAAGGACTCATTGCGAGTGTTAAGAGTCTCACTGAGGCTGTCACCAGAATGCAAATGGGTCATACAAACAGGAACAGGTCACCACAACGATCACGATCCAAGTCACAAAATAGGTCACAAATGTCCAGACAATCTGGGCAGTTTTGTTGGTACCACTGGAAGTTTGGTGTCAACTCAACCAAGTGCAGGCAACCATGCGCCTGGCCTAAGCATAATTCCAAGACAGCGGGAAACGAGTAACCCCTCCCCAGGTCGCGACAACTGAGGAGGGGCGCCTAAACAGTCGCTTGTTTTATGTCAGAGACAGAAACTCGGGCTTGAATTTCTTGGTGGACACTGGCGCTGCTCTTAGCATCATCCCTCGAAATAAAACTGAGATTAGTCGAGAAACATCCCCGATTACACTTCAAGCTGCAAATAAAACTACAATCGCGACATTTGGGCAGAAAACGTTAACCCTAGATTTGGGGTTCAGAAGGCAATTCCCTTGGGTTTTCACGGTAGCCGACTTAGATCTGGCAATACTGGGGATGGACTTTCTAGAGAGATACGAATTTCTTGTTGACACCAAGAAACGGCGATTAACACTAAAAGAAACTTCGTTTTACACAAAAGGCAAAGAAAGTCACATCAGCTCTCTTAACTTGATTCAAACCCCTCCAGTAACAACAGCGAAATTCCAAGATATACTCGCGGAATTTCCAAACTTAACCAAACCAAACCCACAGCCTTCCAAAGACAAACTAAAAGTAAGTCACACTATCAAAACCGAAGGTGCACCGGTGTTTGCGAAACCCAGGAGACTAGCACCAGATAAGCTCAAAATCGCTAGAGCCGAGTTTGATTATATGCTACAACTGGGTATTATCCGTCCGTCTGATAGTCAATGGGCATCCCCTTTGCATATGGTCCCAAAGAAGAATGAAGGTGACTGGCGACCGTGCGGGGATTACAGAGCCCTCAACCGTCAAACCGTACCAGATAGGTACCCAATACCGCATATCCAAGATTTCACAAACGGTTTACAGGGTATGAACATATTCACTAAAATTGACTTAGTCAGGGCATATCACAATATCCCGGTGGCTGATGAAGATATCCCTAAGACAGCTATTACAACACCCTTTGGCTTATTCGAGTTTGTACGCATGCCATTCGGCCTGAGAAATGCGGCACAGACATTTCAAAGATTCATAGATAACCTACTTCGAGATATGCCATTTGCGCAGGGGTATATAGACGACTTGTTAATTGCCAGCCCCGATTTGCAATCACACGAAGAGCATGTACGAGCAGTGTTGACAAGATTGAATGAACATGGAATAAACATACATCAAAGTAAGTGTGTTTTCGGTGTTCAAACTTTAGAATTTCTTGGTCACACAATAAGCCCAGAAGGGATTAAACCTATAAAAAAAGAAGTGGATACCATCAAACAATACCCGATACCTAGCTCTCTAACACAGATGAGAAGTTTTCTAGGTCTAATTAACTTTTATCGCAGATTCATACCAGGTTGTGCACAATTAATGCAACCTTTAACAGATTTACTTAAAGGAAAACCAAAAGAATTCAAACTCTCTTCTGACGCCGTCGAAGCTATTAAACAGCTTAAAGATAAACTGGCTCAAGCAACTACGTTGATATATCCGAATTCTCTTTCCCCACTTGCTTTGATGGTGGATGCTTCAGATAAAGCAGTAGGCGGTACCCTTAACCAACTGGTTAAAAACGCCTGGAAACCAATTGCTTTCTTCTCGAAAAGACTCGCTCCAGCTGAGACAAGGTATTCTACCTTCGGACGAGAACTTCTTGCAATCTACCTGACTATTAAACACTTCCGACACATGTTAGAAGGTAGGGAATTTATAGTCTTTACGGATCACAAACCACTGACGAATGCATTAAAAGCGAGAGCCGATAAGTACTCACCTCGAGAAGTCCGACACCTTGACTATATATCACAGTTCACAAGCGATATCCGACATGTCAAAGGTCAGGACAATCAGGCGGCAGATGCTTTATCCAGACTAGAAATGAACGTGGTACAGCAGTCTACAGTAAACTTCGAGACGTTGAGACACGAACAAGAGCAGGACCTAGAATTACAAAACCTACTCAAAACAAACAATTCAAGTCTTAATTTAAAACAGTTCCCATCACCTATCGATGGTATTCTAATTTACTGTGACACGACCAAGGCAATGCCGCGACCTTTCGTTCCCAAAAATATGCGAAAGTTGATATATAATAACTTTCATTCTTTGTCTCATCCTGGAGCAAAAGCTTCAACTAAACTAATCAATGCCAGATATATATGGCCGAATTTACAGAAGGATGTACACAAATGGGTTAGAGAGTGTTCAGCATGCCAACAATCAAAGATTAATCGTCACACAAATTCACCCATAGGTGTTTTCTCGCAACCAGATGCACGTTTTGCACATGTGCATATCGACTTGGTAGGTCCTTTACCCCGTTCAAATGGTTTTAATTATCTTTTTACATGCATAGATCGATTTACCAGATTCCCTATAGCCATCCCGATAGCGGACATCACAGCGGAAACAGTAGCCAAAGCTTTCATGCAGAACTGGGTAACCATTTTTGGTACACCCATAACAATAACGACGGATAGAGGAGCGCAATTCGAATCCGAACTATTTAATAACTTGGCTAAACTTCTAGGCTCTAATAGGATACGCTGCACTGCATATCATCCTCAGGCTAATGGGATGGTAGAACGTTTTCACCGTCAGCTAAAAACCGCCCTTATATCTCACTCAAACCCCAATCAGTGGACAGAATTCCTACCTTTAGTTATGTTGGGAATACGAACATCTGTCAAAACTGACGCACAATGTTCAGCTGCGGAACTGGTTTTCGGAACAACTCTGAGACTACCAGGTGAATTTATTAACCCTAATACTAACAGTCAAAAACTTAATTTAGAAAATTACGTAGATCAACTACGGGACCATATGTCCAAACTTAAACCAATTAATACTCGCGAACAATCGCGCGCCGTATATGTACCTAAAGACCTAAGCAATTGCACGCACGTCTGGATAAGATGTGATAAAATAAAATCACCACTCAGTCCTCCATTTGAAGGTCCTTTCAAAGTCGTCTCAAGAAAATCTAAATATTTCGTGATAGAAAAACATGGAAACATCGACACAATAAGTATTGATAGGCTAAAACCGGCTTATCTAGATCATGAACCACCATACGTATTGTTAGATCGTATAACTGACAAATCCATTACGGAATCGAAATGTAAAGATGATAAATCTTTACAAATGACTAAAACGGTCCGCTGGGCACATCCAATTAGTCAGTCAAGGATGTTGACAGTTTCGGCTGCAGGATAAAATCTAACCACGTAGCTAATCAGACCCTGCATCTACTTAGAAATAATTATTTTTCCTCATTCCGCCTCACCTACAACTCCCCAGACCTTTTACCTTTAATATATAAGTATTATGTTAAATATTTTTTTTTAATACTGGACACATAAGCTAGGTATTCCGAAACGATGGCTGAGGATTTTAATCAAACTCATACAACTAACACTGGCAAATACAACGATATCAAAAAGCAACCCAGGCGAGTTTTATAATTTCTTTTCTGGTTAATTAACTATGTTGGCTGTACTTATTATATATCTATATACATTTTTCACGCAGACTGGCTATACATATATACCATATGAACTACTTCTAAAAGTTTTCGGTCGAAGATATGTTTAGTAGCTTGATACGATTAATACTACTATTAATAAGTGGTTTTCTAGACAAAACATTTTGGATTAAACCATGGCCAAGTACTTATTAAAGTTCTCATAATTTTTTTTCATGTTTAGGAAACTTATGTAATGACTTAACCAGTTTTCCTGCAGCATGCTTTTTAGTGTGATCATATAACCCATCTTTATTGGCAATATTCAGATTTTTTTTTTTAAAATTCTGACATTTAAGAATCAATAACCGTGGAAATATAGTACAGTGCGTTACTGTAAGGTTACTATGTTAGCCGCATTGATTCCGCATACCTAATTTTAAACACAACTTATAAAGGAACTCTTAAGTAATCATAACATTGAACTAACGATATGACTATCATAGCTATGTTAACGTTAAACCAATTATTATTAGTGGTCCTGACAAAACCCTGGAACTCAACACTAGCGTTATAAAAAAGACATGTTATGTCAGTAACTTTTATATATATATATACTTTTTCTCTCGGTTTAAGTATAACGTAAAATGGAAATCACAAAACTTGTAGATTTTTTTTTTCTCTATAGTATTATTAGTAATCCAAACAAAGAACGTGTACTGTTCCAATATGGCATTCTGATATATCAACCAGTCCTCCTGTTATTTTTCTCTCATATCTGAGCAACTTATGGCCAACAAACATCGTATTGAAGGGGGTTTCGATGAACAAAAACGCATGACCCACACGCACTCGAACCTCAGCCCTTCTGAATGCTAGACCGCGTACCTAGCCATTAGGCCACATCAGACCACGAGGGGTGACTGCAATCTTTCCTTTTACCAATTATTCATTCATAATACTAATGAGTAATAGGACTTACACACTTCTAAGGTGCAGACAAGTTCGTTACTTTGATTAATTGACGAAATATTGCCTCAGTATATCATACATATTTAAATCAAACCAGAAAAGAGTATTTGACACAACTGTACTTGATCCTCATACTCTACACAATTTTCTCTCCTCTTTAACCGTATATTCTCTTCCGTTTTATGGAGTAAAATTATGCACCCTTGGTTACGTACCTGGTTAGAAAAGGCGGTTGTCACATTCCCAAGGTCACACATTTGAACGGGTTTGACAATGAGTCCAACTTCTAGCAAGTTTACACTTTTACATTTATACATTATAAAAAAGGATTTTATTTATTTTCATACCTTTTCGTACACAAGATGGCTACACTATGTATATTTTCTTCCAGAATACCAATCCGTTCTGGAGGCCAATCACTTACGTGGAACCGAACAATTATCAATTATGTTTATGTATTTACATTTTGTATCTTATTATTTTGATGCAGGCAGTGGAGCGGTTCTTTAGGTTTGATTGGTTTTCACCATTAACTTTGAAGTAGATTCTTCTTTACTTTTTACTTGAGGGCGACTCAAGAGGCAGGTGAGTAAACACCTGATAGCCGGTCTGAGCATGGAAAAATCGTACCTCACCAACATGGTGTT